GCCTCCACTGTTGGACCCTGTGAGGGGCCGAGGCTGACCGCTCCCCGCGGGGCTGCCTGGGGTCTTCGGGGTAATCTCAGTCAAGCCGAGAGGCCAGGCGCTGCCGGCACCTTACAAACCTGCGGACGCGCTGGGTCTGAAAGGAGCCTGGGTTGGAGGGAAGCGGACCCGGGGCAGGTGCGCATCGCATCGCATCTCGGTGCTGGCTCGGCCCCAGAGCCAGGTTCCCTGCTGCGCCTGAGGGTTTGGTCTGTCCGTCCGTCCGCACAGGGAATGGGAAAGGCCCCGGGCCGCACACTCGGTCACAGGCGGCCACACCGGGGCTGCCAGTCGCTCTCTCGGTGAGAGTCAGCGCGCATCTCCTCGCAGGAGACAAGTCACAACCAAGTGCAAACGCGGACGCCAGGTACTAACGGCGACTGCGGCCCAGGTTCTGGGTGCCCCTGTGAGGGACAGATACACCTTCGGTTGTGGGCAGAATATCTGGTGATTGTCTAGGACGTTCCATGCACTTTTTTACAGGAAAGACAGAGGGAGGGAGGGAAAAGGGAGGGAGGGAGGGAGGGAGGAAGGAAGGAAGGAAGGAAGGAAGGAAGGAAGGAAGGAAGGAAGGAAGGAAGGAACAGGGGGGTCCAAGTCCGGGACAACGTGGAGGCAAAGCACACTTTCCTGATTCTTCTGAGAGGAGTTAGTGCCCATTCAGTCAGGTGCCCTCCACCCGTGACATCATAGCGGTGGTGACATCATAGCCGGTGGTGACATCATAGCCGGTGGTGACATCATAGCTGGTGTTGACATCATAGCTGCGGAGACAGAGCCCCCTCACTGTGCAATGTGCACAATTCCGAGCACTGGAGGTGGGCTCACTACATTTGTAAATGTAAATTATTTAATCACTGTGTAGAGATGGACGTTTAAAAAACCACCAGTGTGTACAGTGAACCTATTTGAACAATCTTATCGTTTTCACCAGCCCATTTTGCAGTTAATTGCTATCCATGGCTTAATTTGAACCCGAGTGTGGATGGCACCTAATCTGATTCGCTCCATGACGATGATTGGCTAATTTGTAAACGCAAAATCCGCCCAGGAGGCGCCGTCTTGGCTGGGAGTTGGTGGCTGCTTCATGGAATCTGGAAGGCGGCTGAGAGTCAATGCAGGCACCCTCCCCGGCCTCCTCTCTGGTCAGGCCTGGTTTCCTTAAGCCAAGGACTCCCCCCTCTCCCTGTAAACAGAGCCTCTGGTGCTCCTTTAATTGTTGCAGAAGAGAGGTGGCTGCTCCATGGTGACCGCCCACACCCCCCACCTGTGCCCCCTCGGCCACCGGCCCTGCCAACTGCAGCATCTGCCCGCCGGGCTGGTCTGCACACCAGCCTGGGAGGCCAGGCTCACTCCCATCCCCCGTCTACAGCAGCGGCTGGGCCAGGTGCAGGCGTGTGCCCCTATGTGTGCGTGTGCCTCGGAGGTGCGTGTGCCCCTGTGTGTGCGTGTGCCCCTGTCCCAGCCTGGGAGGCCAGGCTCACTCCCGTCCCCGTCTACAGAAGCGGCTGGGCCAGGTGCAGGTGTGTGCCCCTGTGTGTGCGTGTGCCCCTGTGTGTGCGTGTGCCTCGGAGGTGCGTGTTGTGCGACTGACTGCATTCTTCTTATTTATATCCCTTGTTGGCGGTGCTAGAAGCATTGTTTTAAACTATACCAGATATAATTTGGATGGTGACACGAAGCAGGCTGTACATACATACGTGTACATGGGTGGTGATATGTGTCAGGTTATGCTGTACATACGTGTATGTGGGTGGTGAACACAGCACATTGTGCTGTACATACGTGTACGTGGGAGGTGACACGAAGCAGGCATAGGTATTATGGCATCTGGAGGCTCTGAAGGTCTATTTTTCTGCTACCAACTGAGCAAATAAAATGTGCATTTATCTCCCGGTTCTTGCTCTGTTCCTGTGCTTTGTTGGTGAGTGAAGCCTTCGCCTGGAAGAGACCATCCCTGGAGGCCTGGCCTGGGGAGGAGCTGGGTGCTGCTGGGCACCTCTGCCCGCCATTCCTGGGCACACGACCCCGGCTGCTCAGAGCAGGGGCGGCCCCAGCGGCGGGATCCGTGCACTACAAGGTGTAACATTTGTTTTGCAGAGGATATCAATCATGTTTGCAAAAGCGAAGGGACATTTTCAATTTGCCAGCGCGTGGTATCCTGCGACTTCGGAAGGGCTCCCAGCCCCAAGAGTGAGTGGCATTTAATACCAAACAACACCACGGCGAGGGCTGCCTCTGACCTATTCAAATGTCGCCACCACCACGCCGACGTGCCGGCGTAATTATAATTAAGTAGTTTATGCCTCTCTTGCAAATCCGCTGATTGATCACCGATATGTACATTATGCCACATTACCCGGAGCAGGTGTCTGCCACTCACGGTCATGGATCACCAGGTTTCCATTAGCAGAGTCGGGAGGCGCTGCGAGCAGGAGTGAGTGGAGACGCGTGCAGGTTCCTGCGTGCGGAGCAAAGTTTTTGGGCCCGGGACCTGGAAACAGTGGGGGTGTCCCTCCTCCGGAGCTGGGGCTGCAGGGCCAGGGAGGGCCTATCCCTCCTGGGAAGGCAGGGGGACCCGCCCCAGGTGCAGGGGTAGGGCCGAGGGTCCGTAGCGTGGGCAGGTGTGTGAGTGCGCACCAGCCTCAGGTGGGGCTCACCTCCTCCTTAGACCCTGGGGCTCCCCAAAGAGGCCTCCCTCAGCCACAGCACCCGGTCGGACACTTCCCGCCACACCGAGCTGCTGTCCTGGCCCGTCTCCCTGGGCAGCAGAGAAACCTCATTTCTCTCCAAGTTCCTTCCTCGCCCGCCCCTTTTCTTGTTTTATAAATATATATATTAGAGGCCGGCGCACAAAATTCATGCACAGGTAGGGTCCCTAGGCCTGGCTGGTGGTCGGGGCCAATCTGGGGGGTGACTGGCTGGGTGATCGGGGGGCCCCCGCTGGCACCTGCCTTGGCGGACCTGGCGCTGCCTCCTCACCAGCCCCACCCCTGCCACCACTGCCTCCAGTCGCCTCCCTCTGCAGGGAGACTGGCAGGGCAAACACGGGGCCCCCACCGGCACCCGCCTTGGCCAGCCTGAGGCCTGCAAGCTGGGGGCAGCTTCTGCATTGAGCATCTGCCCCTGGTGGTCAGTGCACATCATAGCAACCAGTTGTTCCACCGTTCAGCTGATTTGCATATTAGGCTTTTATTATATAGGATATATATATATTTTTTTTAAATATATTTTTTATTGATTTCGGAGAGGAAGGGAGAGAGAGAGAGAAACATCCATGATGAGAGAGAATCATTGATCGCTGCCTCCTGCATGATCCACACTGAAGATCAACCCGCAACCGGGGCATGTGTCCTGACCGGGAATCGAACTGTGACCTCCTGGTTCCTGGGTCTTTCCTCCCTTAATTGATCAAATTGGGGCTGTTTCTTCACTCCATCAGCAGACATCTGTGAGCTGTGCTCAGCGCTGGGTGCCATTATGAACCAGAGGCCCTGACTGTGTCCCAGCCACGTGCATGGGAAGCCACCACCGAGTGACTCGGACTTTCTCACCCATGCCGCCAGGAGCAGGCCCTGCCCAGGTGCTGAGGGGGCAGCTCACCATGGGCATAGCAGCCAGCTGGACTGGGCTTGGGCAGGGCCCTCTGGGACCAGCAGGGGCGACCGTGCCACAGGAAAGGGCATTTGGGGGGAGGGCAGTGAGAGGAACTCCTGAGGTGGGAAGGAATGGGGGAGGGGTTTGCAGAAAAGAGCGAAGCCAGCGTGGCTGGTGGGAGGTGCAGGAAGGAGCCCCTGAGTACAGCCAAACACCCCATTTCTTTAACCTTTGACATGCATCTCCTGCAGGACAATCACCTCCCACATTCTGGGCACTTTACCTTGGTTAATGTGGCCTCCATACCAGCTGACTTACCTGAGCTCACATACCACACAGTAGCTGTGGCCACCACTTGACCCCTGAGTGCCAGGGACCCCTAATCCTAGAACTGGATGAGGGTGCAGACCCCATGCAGCCTAATGCCTTCAGTGGCCTTTTGGGGTCCACACTGCCCCCCGGGACCAGAGGAAGCAGGGAAGGGGAAGTGCACACAGTCCATCACCTGCAACGCGATTCTGTGTTCAGCCACACGAATGATTCATAAACATTTGCAAAATCACATGCTTTCACCCTGTTAAAAATACCAATGCGTTGCATGTAAATTGGCCTCATCCATGGCTTCGCTGGAGAGACGGGTCCTCACACCCACGGGCGCAGCTTGTCGGGGCCGCTGCCCAAATTAACGTCCCCGTGCACTTCTGTGAGATTGAATTCTTCCCGCTCCTGGCGCCGTGGGGCCCAGGGTCCAAATAGGATGTGAGCTCACTCAGCTGGAACCTGCACTGAGATTTGTAATCAACAGCCATGCGGGCCATGCGGTTCTCAGACAGGAAAGGAAACTGGGTGGGAACCTACGAACTTTGTTCAGCTCCCCTCTGCGCCCTGTGGGGATGCAGCACCGTGGACAAGCACCACGGACAAGCACCGCGGACGGGCAGTATGGACGGGCACCTCAAATGTGCACCACAGATGGGCACTGTGGATGGGCACCTTGGGGCACCATGGACGGGCACGATGGAGGGGCACCGTGGGAGGGGTGTGGGATGGCGAGTTCTCCCACACCCGCCTAGGAGGGGACAGCGGCTCATCCCTAGGCGGTCACCATGGAGGTGCCACCCCGTGTGTGGGTTGGTGTCACAGCTGTTTCCATCCACCTGCCCACCACGCGTGCCCACTCATCCCATGGGACCGCCTGGCACCCTCTGCATCACCCACGGCTAGTTCTCCGCACCGGGCCTCACCCTCCAAACCTAGTTGGCTCCCAGGCTCCAGCCTGACAGCAGGCAAGCGGTCTGGTCCATGGGACACCACATTCTTGTCCGAGTTTGGGGTGAGAAGAAGAAAGTTCAGACCTGCTCTTTTTATTTATTTACTAGAGGCCTGGTGCACCAGTGGGGTCCCTCCCCCGAATGTCACTTAGGCTTCTATAATAATAAAAGGGTAATATGCTAATTAGACCGGACATCTTCCGGACATCCTTCCTGACGAAGCGGGACCAGAAGGAAGCAGACCAGGTCCCGGGTGCTGGAGGGAAGCCCGAGGGAAGCCAGCCTGGGTCCTGGGTGCCTACCAGCGGCCAGAGGAGAGAAGCCCGGGCCTGGGTGCGGAGGGAAGCCGGTGCTGGCAGCTGGGGGAAGGAAGGCCTACTCTTGCACAAATTTTCGTGCACCGGGCCTCTAGTTTATATAGAGAGATTAGTTAATCCTCACCTGAGAACATGTTTCCATTGATTTTAGAGAGAGAGGAAGGGGGCGGGAAAGAGAGACATCAGAATCGCTCAGCCTCACAGAGGCCTCCTCGGCTTCCACGCCCTGGCCCATCCAGGCCTCCCTGGTGCCCACGCTCCCGGGAGGCACCAACAGGCTCCTGCACTGGGCAGGGCGCCGCGGCTCCCAGGATACCAATGTGCCAGGCCCACGTGGCTGGGCGGCTGAGGTACCCGGCACGACCACCCCAGGGGCAGGAGTGTGGTCCATGTCCTGCACCCGGCCCTGCACCCAGGGTGAGTGTGCCCTGGACACACCCCGAGAAGTCAGGGCCCTGGAGCGGAATGTTCCAGGCACCAAGCGGGCCACGTGTGTCTTCCCTTCCTGGGGAGATGGGAACTATTTCTGTTTAATTCACCAACTGAGCCAGGCGTTGGCCAGGAATTGGCTGATGAGTCTCAGCCCAGGGGAGGTGACAGGCAGGCGTAGGGACCCCAGCTTCATCTGCAGGGCTGACACCCTCTCTGCCAGGGGTGGTCTGGGCCCAGGATGGGGGCTGAGCCAGGCCCAGGAGCCAAGCACCCCCAAACTGTCCTCCTGCTGGGCATGGAAGTCTCCCTCTCCCTGCCTAGTGGCTGCCCCTCTAGGGACCCCATTACCCAGTCCTGGAATAGGGGGACCCCACTACCCAGTTCTGGAATGGGGGACCCCAGACCCTGCCCACAGCACTTACTTAGGAGGAATCTCCAGCCCCCGCACTGGCCTGTGGAAAAGCTTGGGCAGGTGTAGCCACACCAGTGTCCCCGTCCCTCAATGCAAACATCTTTCCAGTCCTTTCGGTGCCAGGAAATGCGTGCACAGAACGGCACCTGGGAGCTCCCAGGTCGACTGCCTCCTGGGGCAGGTGGCAGGGCGCTCGGGGTCC